AACCTGACAGAAGTTTTGTGAATAAATTTAAAATGTTCTTGGTTTATTTTACATAAGAATGTATGCCATACACTGAATATTTAAAAATACTTTTTGTCTACAGAAAGTAGCTAATGTTAACAAAATATAACTAAGCCTATACTTATTGATTTGTAATCAATAGGGTACATCATTGCATTGTTTTCCCTCTGGTAGTGGTGGATTTGTACTTACATTCTACACTTGACCTTATATGATAATTTGTTAAGTTGTTTATTCGACAAGTATTTATTGACTAACCATGAAGCACTTATATTTGTTGTAAGGGATACAAGAGATGTATGACATGATTTCTGCCTTCCAGAAGCTCAGAGGCAGGTGGTGGACATAAGACAAATATTTTAAGAGGTTTAAATAACTGCAACAGACAATGCTTCATTAGCAAATATTAGCCCCTTTCCATTCCCCTGGCCACCAGCCCCAATCAGGCGTAATTTCATCTCATCTAGACTGCCGGGTTAGATTCTTCCCTAGCCCCCTACATTCATAATCCCCCACTCCTATCCACTGTACACACTGAGTTGCCATATGAGATGACAGCCCCAGTAATTGCACTCTCTTGATAAAAACAAAGTAAATATAAGCCCTCCCGGCATTAAAGATCCTCCTGATTGTAAGACAGGAGGACCTCCTGATTAAATATAACATTCGAGTTTGGGTTCCCTTTAGTCTTTTCTTCATCTCATATTTACATTGTACATTTTTTCCCTGAAAAAATTCTACAGTTTTAATTTATTTCCTTTTCCTCATGCTGTTTTCTCTTCCAGAAGCATTCCCCTTCTCTTCTCAGAATTCTATAACCATCCAAAGGTGATCTTAACTACTATTTTGATATGGAATATAATCTGTACCACAAAGTGTGTATGTGTGTGCATGTGTGTGTGTAGACAAGACCGCTTGTAGACAAGTCTAGATGCAGAGGTTATAGGAAAAGTTTATATGGTAATTTACACTCTGGCATATACTTTAATTCTTTGTTTACTTGACTCCCCTGTTAGACTGAAATCCTTGACTAAAAGTAGAATTACTAGTCTTTTTTTTTCCACTTTAGAACTAAATATAAATTTTGTACATAGGAAGTTCTCAGTAAATATTTATGCAATCAAATTAAAGTTATTTGAATCAAATGCTGTAGAAAAAAATCAATTTCATGAAATAAATTATCCTAGGAAGGTTTTTTTGAATAAGGCCTTAGACATGCCTTTGGATATATGGAAAAAAAATACGATGGAGACACTATGGTGAAAATTTGTTGAAATGAGACACTTAAGTCAATTAAAAACAAAATCACAAAAAGCAGCAAATCTGATTCTTATAGAGTTCTATATTCAATTGAAAGATATAATTGGGATGAAGAAGGAAAGAGAGCCATGGTATTTCCATCAATATGATAGTAAAGCAGGACTCAATGACACTAACAAGAATCATTAAATAAAAATATACCAAATTTTCAGCTTTTCAAACTGATAAAATGTTTTTGGTCTGCTAAATTTTGGACTAAATTAAGTTGGAGATTTTCAGTTATATGAAGTCACTCTTTAAAAACTCATAATTGAGGGCCGGCCTGGTGGCGCACTGGAGAATGCGCTGCCTGGGAGCCTGGTGGCGCTCCCGCCGAGGGTTCGGATCCCATGTGGAGACTGGTTCCCGCTCACTGGTTGAGCGCGGTGTGGGCGCAACACCGAGGGTTGCGATCCCGTTACCGGTCAGTAAAAAAGACAAAAAGGAAAAAAAAAACAAAACTCATAATTGATTATTTCAAATAAGAATCTTCTAAGAATTCTTATAATTATAAGAAATTATAGAACTCACAATTATAAGAATTATAAAATTATATAAGATTACAAGAATATTTATATTTGTCATCAGTGTCTCCTAATATAATGATAGCTAGTCTTTTAACTTAAATATTTGTTTTATCTTTTTTTTTTTTTTGTCTTTTGTCTTTTTTCCGTGTCCGGCAATGGATCGCAACCCTCAGTGTTGCCCCCGTACCGGACCGGGGACCGGCAACGGGATTGCAACCCTCGGTGTTGCTCCCACGCCTCGCTCAGCCAGTGAGCGGGAACCGGTCTATATGTGGGATCCGAACCCTCGGGCGGGAGCGCCGCCGCGCTTCCCAAGCGGCGCACTATCCAGTGCGCCACCGGGCCGGCCCCTGTTTTATCTTTTATATAATCTCTTTTATATCTATGTCTGCACAGTTGGATCACTTGGCAGTTTTCTATAGGGCTTGGATGAATAAGACCATATACTAAATTTCCTCTCATTTCCTTTTTTCCTCCTTCTTTTTAGAAAATTCTATAATTCCTGTATTAAATTACTTAAGATTAAAGATGTGTGAATAGGAAAAGAAAGCTTCTTAAGCAAATTTTAACCCACATATGTTTTCCTTTTTATCAATAATAAAATATACAATTGCTTAAATATTTTTCAAAAGCTGAATATTTAATTAAATATTTACACTAACTGTAAAGATGATATTAGTGTATACTATAAACTTTTGCCAAATCCTCTAGAAATTTAGGTTTCATTACCATGTTCCCAGAAAAAATAATCCATAAGCAGCATCTTGAACAGTATATGGCTCAATGTTCCAGTTAAAGGGAAATATCATTTTTCTAGAAAAACGTAATAATAAATTTTATTTTCTGCCTACTTTTTTTCATGTTCAGAATACTGAAAAGAAAATGTATACAGGAGTGGCAGGCATATATAGGCACCCCAAAGATGGTCACATCCTACTTCCTGGAATCTATGAATATGTTACTTACATGGCAAAAGGGACTTTGCAGATGTGATTAAGATTAGGGATCTTCAGATGGGGGACTTTTTTAGGTTACCCTCGTGGGCCCAAACTAAGGTAAAGAACGCCTGTGGCCTTTAGAAGCTGGAAAAGGGAAGGAAATAGATTTCCGTAAGAGCCTCCAGAAAGAAACACCTTGATTTTACTTAGTTCAGCAAGACCCATCTTGGACTTCTAATAGAATCGTATGATGTTTGTGTTAAAACACTAAATTTGTGGTAATTTTTACAGCAAAAATAGAAAATACACCAGGCATATGGGAGAGTTGAAAATAAAATTAAAGAATTTATTAAATGTTTACTAAAAACTAAAGTTTCTACAAGAAATTCCTACTTTTTTCTAAGGACCAGTTTGGAATACAAAAATCTACAAATATATACATATAAAAAATCCACTGCCAATCTCTTGGAAAATTGTACTAATATTTAGACTTCATTTGCAGATTACTTACCTCTGAACCTGAATATATCAACAGAACATGCTTCAAAACAGTTTTTTATACAAATGAATTTATTGTATCCCCATTATATAGAGCATCCCAAACACACAGCAGGCACTCGGTAAATATTTGCTGAGTGAATAAAGAAGTAATAATGTAAGACGCAATAATGTAATAATGTAAGTAATAATGTAAGAATGAATAAAGAAGTAGTAATGTAAGAGGAATTGAGAGAAATAACCTAGCAATTAATTACTACATGCATCTGTAGAATTCTAAAAGGTGTCATATTTTTAAAAACAGTAAAAATCATTGCCAACCATATTTTCCCTGTAGTAATATAAGCAATAAAGTGAAAACCAACGTCAAATCAAAAGAGCTCCAATGTGTCTCTGAAATATGATCCAGTTTCAACCTTTCTTCTTTGTTCCCTAATAGATATCACAATAGAGACCATGAAATAAAAACTCAACAACGGGAAATGTTGCGTTGATGAAATACAACATGAAACTGGTGGTATAAAATTTTGAGTTAACTTCTCCACATAATTTATAATAACAATATAATCACACCAAATACTGATTGAAATTAGAATATTGATAAGAAAAAATTACGAAAGAAGTTACTTTGAATAAAAAAAATTTCTTTTTCATTTAATAATCCCTTGTCTCTATTTAAAAGTTCAACATTTAAAGTTTGTAAATTTTGATAAAACTTAAACAAAAGGTGGTAAATACATAAAGACAACCTGATGGTAAAGAATTAAATGCTCCCATTTGAAAACTAATGAACCCAAATAATTTAACAATCTAACCTAAGAGACCAGTTCTCTAATTTCACTTCTATAATCCTATCCTGGACAAATAGTCTTGAATGAAAACAGATTTATAAAAAAACACAATAATTTTTAGTATAACAATACTTATGCCTAACTTATGCCTAACTTAAATGTCTAACAATAAGAAGATGATTAGGTAAATGGTTCATATATTTAAACATCATGTACTAAAACTAAAGCATAGCATGAAAGAAAATCAGGGTGAAAAATTTTAAACAGTATTATCTTAATTATTTTAAAACTTGAATAGCAAAAAATTGGAAAGCAACATGCTAAAATATATACAATTGGTAGTACTGTGGATTATTTTAATTTTATGCTATGTGTTTTTACTCTGTTGTCCAAATTTCCAATACTGAAGTTGATATTATTTTATAATCAGATAAAGCATTTTTTAATGAAAAAGTTCTAATGTGAACAATCTTTTCTTGATCATTCAGCATTTCATATATTATAACTGTATGTACTCCATGAAAGCTTCTGAAGTAATGAGTTGCTTTAGTTCAATCCACGGACTTTTCCAAATAGCATCAAAGTAAATTTTAGGTTTGATCTGAGGAATAAGATCATCTTAAATAATGAAAGTCAATATTAACTATGAGGAAATTGGGTGCTGGGGATAGGTTACAGATAATTTACCAGAGAAAAGGCCAACTATTTTTGGTAATTTCCAAGAGCTGGTTTCTATAATAATGTTATCTATCTAGTGTTAGGTGCTTGAGCTATTATTATTATATAATCAATTCCTATCTTTGCAGGTTCTTAGGACATAAATTCCATAACTCTGTAAAATTTATTCCAATAATTTGGGTAATAATTAGTATTGTACATCACTGTAGGTCAAATAAAAACAATGTATTGGTGAAATTACTACTTACTGTGGTAGCACAATGAATATCTTTCCATATCGTAGCTTCCCTGGAGAGATCAGTGACTTCAAACAAATTATCAAGAATCACTTCCCCAATCATGTCATGTCTAGAAAATCTGTCAAAATCATACAGACTGAAATGTAGTTTTCGGTTGCTTAGTTGATCATATGCTACAGGAAATAGAAAAGTTTCATCAAATAGAGGATTTAAAGTTTTTCTGTGCACACGGGTCTGAAATTTCTTTTTCCTATCTGGAAGGAGATACATCTTCACATAAGGATCTGAAGTTCCTGTGAAGTCTTTAGCAGGGAGATCTAAGGCCTTGATAATTTTAACAACTAGAAGTTCATTTTCATAATCATACTGGAGGGTAAAGTTAAGTTTCCCACATGTTTTGACATCTTCTTTCCTGTTGCCCTCAGAGTCAACTGATTTTTGTTTGTAGAGCTCTGGTTTTATCCTCCCAATGCTGGTTGTTGTTTCTCCTCTTTGTAGAACAGGTTCTGCTCCCATGCTAAAATCAACACTGGAAACCTGCATTTGCCTTGGTAGGTGTCTCCTGAAGGAATTGTGTCTGTACACACACACACATACACACAAAATCATTTAGGTAGATCATTTTGATAACAATGTTATACAGTGGCACACAAATTCTCCCCCATCCCCAGAATAATGAAAAGATAATTATATCTCTAACTGTATCTATATGGACAGATGGACACACACAGACACACACACACACACACAGAGCATAGGACTACTTCTGAACAGAGTTGCAATATTGAAAGAAAAAGTGTCCTAAAATTCTAGAAACCCATGAAACACACAAATGTACGTTTTTACGAGCTTTCAGAATTTTGTACTCTCAATCTTAAGCACATAATTAAAGATACAGAAAAACAAGACTACCAACAAGTTCAGTATTCCACAGAAAATTATGAGTGTTATCAATCATCTGAGTATATCTAGATGTAAGCATTATATAGACAAAAATCATTCAGATGGCTGATTTCTTTCCATCTGAATATTTAGGTCTCATGAATTTCATGTTTTAGTAACTACAACATCAAAACAAAAAACATATTATAAGTCCACATATTCTTATAATGTGTTAATTATATCTAATAATTAAGATAACTAGATGAATATTTACTTTAAAAGGAATATATAGTTGTGACAGCCAAAATGAGTACATTTTCCTTTTTCAACATAGAGTGGGCAACAAGCTCTAAAGACAAAAAAAAAAAAAAAAAAAAAAAAAATTTAAAATTTTAGAATTTAGGGGTAACATAACAGAGTTTTTAAAATTCAAACTGAATTTCCTGTA